CCCTGAGGCTCCTTCACAGAACCCATGTTAAACCTGAATATTAAAAATGTGATCACATTTATGAAGATTGGGCCAAAGTGAGGCAACACTGAAAGCAGAGCAAGATTTAGTATTTTACTAAACCACACTGGGCTGATGTTCTGCATGGTTTAGAGCTGTGATTTCTTGTTGGTTTTATTTTGGGGGGAAAGAATCTTTTATTATTGATTCGAGGAGGCATTCATCTTAAAGTTAATCTTTCTAGTCGCTCTGTGGAAAGCACAGAGGATTTGAGCCTGTGAGTCGTTTAGGCCTCAGAAATATACGTGAGTCTCACCAAGAAGGCTGTTTCTCACAACTTAAACACCGAGATAACCCTTCTCAACATGAAATCAATCCCCAGTAAGAATTTTGTTTTAAATGAGTTCAGTTTTTCAGTCTTTTTAACATCATAACTGAAAATGAGTTAAGCTGTGTTGGGTGAATCTCCTTCTCTCCCTCCTCCGGCTATGACAGTGACTTATGCTCGTGTTCAGAAACATTTTAAATGCAGCCCCGGTGAGTTTTCCAGCTCGGAGCTGATCATAATTAAAACGCTCTCCTCTCACCTTGTTTTGTTTGTTACCTAACGTCCCCACACAACTGTTAACCTCCCTAACAGCTCATTGTTTGTGCTGAATCACAGCGGCATCACAGAAGTTATTACTGCAGGTGTATTTAGCGGCACTGAATCAAAGAAAAATCTGATTTGTTGTTTAGTCTTATATTAGATATTTTCTCCACTAATCCTTTCCCACTCATGATATGACCCCTTGATAAATATCCGTGTGGATAACTGTGGATTATGACCTTTTATTCAGTGCATGAGTCTCATTCAGCTCACACACAAGGATTAATGATTTTTCTTCCTGTAATATTCAATCGGCTTCAGAATCTGCCTATCGACCTTCATTAGCTTCTTGCTCCGTATATTACAGTGCACTGCCCGTCTCTGGCTTACTCCTGATCTCCTGATGAAAACAGATTTAAGTGAACTCGAACTTGACATAATTGCAGCCGCTAACCAAATGAATTAATTTAATTCATAGATTGAGGGAATGGGTTAGAGACTGTCCAGTTAAACAGATTTCTTTCAGCCTCCTTTGGTGCTTGTTTGTTCTGCTTGATTGGATGTGTTGCCCTCTAGGATCAATCAGGCTGATCCTGTTCCTGTTCTCTCTGGTGACCGGTGGGCATACATTACTCTTTGGCTCAGCGCCTTTTTGTGCTGCTATGTGATAACACCGAGCTGTAGCTGAACATATCACTACATAGATGAACTTGTCTCTTACACATTTATCAGTATTGTTGCAGTGCAGCTTCTGGCCACTGCTGCCTGTTGGTGTGATAGTTTGTGCATTTGGGCTTCGTCTCAGATCTTTATGTGAGCCAACATTCAGCCTGAAATAGTCAAAACTCTTTGGCCTCTGCTGGCCCGAGCCCCTCTGGTACAGGAACAGCTTGTGCTTGAGGCACGTAATCTGACAAGATTAGTGTAATAAAATCATTTCTGAAAAAATATCTCTACAGGCAGGTTAGATTTTCATTTAATTTAGAAGGAATAGCTCCACATTTTGGGAGATATGCTGGGGTTTTTTTGAACAGTTGGCTGAGAAGATCCACACCACTCTAATGTCTGTGCAGTAAATATGCAGCTACAGCCATTCTTATCTTAGCTTAGCATTAAGACTGAAAATGGGCCCAAAGTAGGGCTGCACCTTAATCACAATGTCAGTTTGCGCGATAAAGATATTGCAAAAGACTGCGATACTGCACCTAGTTGAAAGAGTATCTATAGAAACCTACACTTAAAAATGTAACTATCATTCAACTTCATTGGTGCCTTTTGTATTCAGTTCAATACTCACTTTGTTTCATGAAAGAATGTTGTAAATAGTTCTATTTGCACTCAGGTGAAAATAGTCACATCGCAGCTATTCGGCTATTTACACCCATCCCTATGACGGGTTATTCTGGATCATACTGCATGCTGTGATTAGCTAGTACTCGTCATGAAGACGCATCAAGGTAGGAAGCGGTCAGGATAAGGGCAAAGAGGCCATGGTTAGAGCTAGTACTAGCCAGTCTTAGATATTTTCTCAAGATTGAAGTGGTAAATTTACAAGATAAAACAAATGTAGTGCCAGAAAGACAGATGATTTAATTTACATAGTGACACAGTCCATGGAAGGAGTAAGACGTAGTTGCAGTTATGGCTGCCCCCGATAGTCGACCAAAGGTAAGTCGACCAGAAAAGTCATTAGTTGGCAAGATTTCATTGGTTGCTTAGTCGCAAAAAAACAAACGAACCAACAAACGTGAAACTCTATTAGGAGCTGTGCCTTGTCAAAATAAATCTAAACCTATATGACTGGACCATGTGGTAATTTAATTTGAAAGTCAGGTTAATTTCCAGGGCTGGTACCTGCGGTTATTCTACAGGCTAGTTAATAACATGTCGGGCAGGAAATCCAAAGTGTGGGATCATTTTGAGAAGGTGAAGGACGAACCCAAGGTGATATGTAAACTCATCTTCATTGGTCGCCTACAAACGTGACGTATCATCTGAAACATGGAAGTAGCTACATGCCCATTAGCCCACAGCGTCATTAACAGGCGGCTCGCTCAGTGTGTGACGTGCACTTGGAGATAAAATATAGGCCTATATTAATGAAGGTTCATTAGTACGGTTTTGTATTTCTCTGTAATGTAGCACAGTGTTAACAATGTTACTGATACTATTCTTTCTCACACCTTCAACTCAAACCACTGCGTTGCCCCGCCCAAAATATATCATTTAATAATTAAATTAATATCATAAACATGCGGGTGACTAGTCAACTAATGGCCCTAAATGACGACTATTGGGCGACTAGGAAAATTCTTAGACGGAGGCAGCCCTACACTAAAGCATGTAAACATGCTCTAGTAGAAACCCCTAAATATGAACCTGAAAATGGCATAGCATGGGACCTTTACAGGATAGGTCCAGTTTATTTCAGCATGGCATATTTCCCATGACTATTGTGGCTCTGTGGTTCGAGCTAACTTTGCACTCACTACTTTTGTTGTAGAGATTGCAGTGGGAACGAGGACTCATGCAGGACCATGTATATAGGGGCGAGCTGCAGGGGCCTCCTACAGCTTTCCAAATAAACATTGTTTACATGCATCACTTCAAACACTTGTCTCTAATCTAACCCTGAACGTAAACACAGAGAGGAGAAGCCTGAAACTATGGCAGTTACGGCCAACTGCATAGAGATGTACAGTAGTAGAATTTTATTTCTGAGTCACAAAGGCTCACAGTGGAGCCAATGCACACATTGAACAGCTCACAGCAGTGTGTTGTGTTGCCCTGCTCATCAAACAAACTGAATGGTTGATAAAGCTTCCTGTCAAGAGACTGATTGAAAACGGACCTCTATGTACCCAAAATACAGGCTCTCGTTTGACTGTTTGTAGCCACACTAAATGCCACTTTTTTGACATTCACTTTGACGTTTCTGCATTCATAGATGTGGGAGAAATAGAAACAATTCCCTAAAGATTCTCTATGTTGGACATCCCAACCCTCATGCTTATTCTGCCTAACTCAGTCCTGGTAAATAGTAGGAACTGATGGAGACCACCAGTGAGGTAAGATATTCAGATAATTCAGAGAAAGAGCACCTCATTTTTTCGGCTTCTAAGATGAAAACAGGAGGATCCACGGAATTATCACTTGTGCCATATCTGTCTATTTGTAAGTCATGTAGCGGCCCTGCCAGCTGCATGCACACCTGGATGCTTTCACTTCTGTGGCCCAGCAGGAGGCAGACTGCTTTCAGTGCCACATGCAGATCTCCATTCATCTCACGCCCTGTCACTTTGGGGCCCTGCCTCCTCAAGGCAAAGCCAAGAGTGCCAGGTTGAACCTGTTCAGATCTACAAAACCATCTGCCGCCCAGAAAACTATCACTATTCACTATTTAAAAGCCCAGGAGCTGTTTTTTTCTTTTTCCCTTCTGTCGGATTGGATTTAAAATCATAATGAAATTATTACGGTGTTTGCAGAAAGCGTCCAGTTGAGACTGGCAGAGACAGAACCTGCAGGTGTATATGATATTATGTGTGGAAAGATTTTTACAGCCCCAAAGCTTCAAATGAAAACAGCAGGGGGTTGATAGAGTTAATAAATCCAAATGACTCAACAGTTATTTCACCTGCTTTCTGAAACTCACTTTATTGTTACTGGAACAAACACTTTGCTTCTGTAGATTTCAGTTAGGTCAGCTTGTAACTAACTAACCACTAGATATTGCCTCCTCCATGCAGCGTGAGTTTAGCCTCGTCCAGACTTTTGACTCCCATCTTAGATTTGTTCAACGATTCATGTAGATCTGTTTTTGTGCCCCTTAACAGCTGTTTTCAGAAAACAACTGACCAATCAGAGCTGAGTAGGGTGTGATTAAAAAAAAAAATATATCAGCCCTCTTAAAGGTGTACTATGCAGGATTTTCCTAACAACAACAACAACAACAACAACAACAACANTGACTTTTGGTCGACTATGGAAAATTCTTAGTCGGGGCAGCCTTAGTGGCACTGGGGTCATGCACAAGACTTTCACACGGGAGACTGGGGTTTGTGTCCTGTATGAGTCTACGCTGGCTTATTACTTTTAGATGTAGTGACGTATTATTCCGGGATGTATAAAGCTGCTAAATGCACACTGTGACATAAACTTTAGCAGAATAGCTGAACAGACCTGTTTGTGTACTTGTACGCTATATTCTAACTTTATTAAACCAACCACAAACATACACTTGGGTGTAAATAGCATTGTTGGCTACAGACACTGGGGTGCTTGCCTCTGCTGCTATATTTATCTGGTTGTAAATGACCCTATTGAAATAGCACTACTGGCAAAGACACCTTGGTGCAAATAGCATCTGCCTTTTTTAATTCAACAAGCATTGTAGTGAAAGTAGCAACGGGGCAGAACTGAGCTCATATGAATATCTGTTAATTTATCCCAAGAACTGTTGTTGTCGCCATATTCAACAACGTCATCAGATATTTTCCTCATATCGTGCAGCCTTTGCTTGCTGGCAACTTTAAAGCTCAACAATTCACATCTCGATTGTTTAATTCCTACAAAAGCCAAAGTGTGAAGACAGTTCTTGAGGTCTTGTTGTCACCCTGAGCCTGCCAGGTACCCAACAGGTACCGCACTACATGATCCAAATGCTGGAGGTCGTAATCCAGAATTATCAAATGGATAAATTTAAAATTCTGATATGTCTTTATGCTAAGCTAACTGGTTGCTGGCTGTAGCTTCATGTTTATACTACTCATCGAAGTCTTGGCAACCTTAAAGATTCATTTCATGCCTGCTGGTTTGTAGTAGAAAGTGTTAATGACAGAGCTGTACTGTTTGTATTTAATCTCATAGTGGTGATTCGGTTCATCTGCCAAATCAACAAAACAAAAACAAAACAAACAAAAACATACATTGCTGTAAAATTTGTTTTGCCGTTATTACTTTTCTATTCCCTGACTAATGGGACTGATACTTCATCTTTACATTAACTTGATTTTTAAAGAGTTGTTCTCCCACTGACATTTTCTTCTTCATTTCAATCCGACTTTTATTTTCATGTAACTTTTTAAGAGGCAAAAACTTTGCACATTTAAAAATCCTGAAGCTCTGCTGGAGTATTCTGGTATTCCGTAAACCTTTGATATGCAGAGATGAAAACCTCAAAAGAATAAAAAACATCCTCCCCGTAAGGATTCCCTAAAGAAACTATTGACATCTATTTAAAACTATTGTGGCTATTCTGTGGTTACAAGTTTTCTTGTGACACTACGGAAACATCTGGAACATTCAGTGAACAGCTGGTCTGAGGGATACTATTATTGAGGTAATTACAGATACGAAATTTTGGGAAAGGAGCAAGAACGTGAACTTTGGATTTTCTTTAGGAGTAGAGGAAAAAGACACTAGGACCAAGAGCTTTAATTCAAGTGCCCATATAGTTAACACAGTATGTCAAAGGATGATTTCTGAAGGGAAATATAGGAAAATAAAACACTATTTTTATTAGGATGTGTCATCTATCTCACAACTACTGCCAAAAACTTAAGTAAAACCTGGCAACGTGTAATCATTTCATTCATGGGCAACATCGCAGGTCTTAGAGAGGTAACTGTGTCCAACGCTTCTCTGACAAAGCTCCACAAACAACATCAGCAACCTCGTGTTTTAGTCTGCCAAATGAATGAGAAGGTGAATTAAAAAAAATAAAATAAAGAAGAAAATAAATGGCCAAAAACAACAAAGAATGTTGGAGCAGCATTTGCAACAATATGAGGAACATGATTGTATCAGCGAGGACAAACCAAACACAGATGAGCATGGTCGATGGTCATAACAGTCAAAGAAAGTAAAAAGTCTCAAATTACTCTATCTGCAACACATCTTAGGACACACAAGTATAAATGTCTGCTATTTACATTTTTTTATCCTATTCAGTGTGCATCTATATCACGACATTTTCCAGAAGTCCACAACATACAATAAATTCAGGGTTTCACCTTTGGTTATGTAATTATCAAGGCTAGGTTTAAAAAAATATATAACACACGTCCATGTTACTTTTGCATACAGTTAAAGTGAAAACATATCAACAAAGCAGCTGGTCAGCTCTAAATTTGCATCTGAGAAAAAAACCTAAGGTATTTCGTCTTTACGGTGAAAGCCCCTGCGAGTTTCACCCGCTGTTTTTCTGTGATAGAAAGTGAGTGTGGCAGATATTTATGATGGTGTTTATATGCCTGACATCTTTGCTTTAGTGTAAGTGGATCGTAATGTGAGAGGATGTTCTTGTGATGTGTTTCAGTGTGTCGCATTGAGCCAGTCAATATATGTCTTCTCTCTCGACCCTCTATACACTTTCTGAATGAGGAGTTTCATGTGTTATGACACGATGTGAATTAAGAGTTTGTCGCCAGCGTTTGAGTGAGCAACTCAGGCCAGCCTTGTTTGGTTGACAATATGAAACAAGATAAAAATAGATTAAGTCGTAGTGCTGACTGCACATAAGCAGAGAGCAAACTCACCATTTAGTAACCAATGACACCTACGAAGCCGACCCAACTAAAACATTATGTCGACATTACAACCAAACATTATCTCTATCATATTAAAATATTCACATCTGTTCCTTACAAGACACTTTTTTTCACATGTAAAGAAAACATCTTTAAACTTTGAACTATAAGTCTCTTAGTTTCATTACTTCATACATCTGTATATGTGTAGTAATTAAGGCAATCATTTTGGGCCACGACTTACTCATTTGCCAACTCCAGTCTCAACCCTCGAGGGTTTGTTTACTGATGTCACACAGCAGCTCTCATCCCCACTTGTTCAAGTGCCGAGTCCCGAGTCCAGTTGTTGCTTTTTCAGTCTCTGCTCGTGCTCGAGATGACCAGTCCCAATGTTTTGCTTGTTCTCTGCAATTTCCAGAGATGTGGGGGATACTCCCTCTCCCTGTAGCTGGCAGCGCTGCAACACAGACAGAAACAGGAAACGGATGTAGGTCTATCATCATTCTTGAGAAAATGGCACCCTGAAGAAGGAACAATTTGACCCAAACGCCTAACTGATCCTGCGCATATTTTCCTTTCCCACCCAGGTTGGGCAAGATGCATCACACTTAAGATAATCATCAGGGTCATTAGGCAGCGACTCCCTCTCAAGCACTCAGAGAGGGGGGTTAGGTCTGCAGCCCAGTCGTCAGTCATCAGGAGAAAATGTTGGCATTGTACATTTCATCAAACTGAGAACATGTTACATTTGTATGTTTCATATGTATCATATCAACATTTAAGTGATGTAGTGTATTAGCTTACTTTGTCATTGGGAGGTGCAGGGATGCACCTGCCAAGCTGCAGACCACTGTTCAAGACCAACAAATAGAAAAAAAACAGTTGTTTTTTAATGAGTCATATTTTTTAGCCACCAAGTGTGGATATTTTTAGTAACCCATGGCTCTGTTTCTACCGGAATTACAACACATTCTCACTCTGACCTCGTCAAAATTGACATTTGGTCACGGACTTTCCATGTTCAGATATGATGTGAAAGGTACCCTGGGTGCGTTGGTTGTTGACGTTCTGGGACGCCATGTCAAGTTCTGCCTGTTACATGCATTGTCTTCTTTCAAGATACACTTCTGTTTTCACAGGAAATTTAATGTTTACATTCAGTCTCTTTCAATTTAAACACACTACGTCAGTACAACACCGCAAATTGAGTTGTTTTTTTCCTCAACAACTAACGTGGTTGGGTTTAGGAAAAAAGAACAGGGTTGGGCTTTATACTCTTACAGGACACGAAGACTGCTCTCTAAGGTGAAAGTCCGTTTGTTGGACCCGCCCACCACAGTCAGACTTTCGCCACTTTACATTTCGACCTTGTCCCACTGCGTTTCCCCCTGATGCCAGAGTTTGTTTGACCTCCCATCTCCTCCCCTCCCATCCGCTCTCTGCAAACTTTCTCACTTTTTATACTAAAGCAGTTGGAGACTTTGGAGTGAGACATGGCTCTGAATTAATGCCACAAAAAGCTGTGTTTTTTACTGAGACACTGCTGCGTTGCCACCTCAATCGGGTATTTTAAGCCAAAACATGATAATTTCCTAACCATAACCAAGTGGTTGAGTGCCTAAACCTAACAATATAAACCACTGCCTTACACTGCCTCTTCAAGACGGGAATTTCACGCCGTTGTACCACCTCACTGTTCTGTATAATAGGTACAAATGCAGACTGGGTGGACAGAGTTGTCTCACTGAGCTGGAAAAGAAGTCTTGTACAAACAGGACAGCTGGTAGGACGGGATCATGGGTGGCACGGCCGTGACGTTTTGACGATGTGTTATCTCTACGACGACCCACCACGGGTGATTTAAAAAGTAAATGTTAGCGGTAAGCAGCTGACTCAAAGAAGAACACCGGCTGTAAATGTCCGCAAAATGAAAAAACAATGAGATTGGGGAGCTTCTTACTCTCCGAGCAGAGGACGAGATCAGCTGCTGTATAACAGAGAAGGTAAATGATTATTATTGCCATGTTACGCCATTGTTATTGTTATTGTTTGGTTCTGTGTAAAAATGCAAAGGCTGCATGAAGAAGGGACTTTGTAGCAGCCCTGTAGCCCAGTAAAGGGCTACAGTATCTGCCACATAATACCATACAAATATAACATATCCCTGGTTTGCAGAAATGTATAATACCAACATTTATTCTGGCAACTGGGTAGAGGTCTGAGTTTTGTTGTCACAGAATATTACTTACTTGCAGGTGTAGTTACATACAAAAGTAATTCATCAACATTTACCCCTTTACATACAGTTTTCTCTGCTGTTCCGCCTTTAAGTAGCTCCAAGGTCGTCAAAATCATATCCATCTAACAGCTTGTTCAAGTTCTGTGTTGATGATATATGATGTTTTACACTGAGTGAAATATTCAAGCCAAAGGCTCCATATTTCTTTATGGCTACACCAATCTTTCAGATGTAAATATTCCAGATGTCGAAGCACTTGCATAATATCACTGAACCTGCTCTTTATGTTTGTTTGGGCACTTACAAGTTTTGATGACTTTTAGTTCTTGTTCCAGTGGAAGTCTGGAGCACTTATTGTAAGTCAAATTGGAACAAAATGACTGTGTAAGGAATGTAAAGTAATGTCTTGTACATCATTTTACACACATCTTTGGAGTCTTTGAGAAACGTTGGGATCTCCACTAGAATTCAAATGAGGCAGTGTTGGTTTGAACAAAGTTTTGTTGTAGAGCACAAGTTTGTAGTGAATAGTCTACTAGTGGGCAGCTGGGGTTGATGGCACTTCACCTCAGCACAACTTTATGTCTGCAGGGGCAAGGGCAATCGTATGCGTCAGGTTGCCTTTTAGGTCAACAGATAATACACAGAAGAAGAAAATAAACCCCACTGTTATCACAAACTTAAAACAATCAAATGCTACAATCTTAAGAATGTGTGTAGAATGGGTAATATATATATAAATAAGTAATATTAGAAATTATTATCTCCAAAAAATCCTTAACTGTTGTCATGCACTGTTTGTACATGCCCACAAAAAGTAATGCCCCAGATTTTGCATATAACCCACATAATCATGAGCCAGTAATCTATATATAATCCACACAATCTAGAAGGCTGCTATCAGGTGACCAATGTGCTGTCAGGAGTAAAGAAAGTAGTAGTATAAAGACCAAAAGTCTGCGTCAGGAGGCAAGTTGGAGTCGTGGATGGGTCAAACAAACGGAGGACTTTTCCCAGGAGACTGGTGTTTGTGTCCCATGTAAAATCAAGTGAACTAAAAGTTTTTTAAGGTATGTCGCCACCATGTTTTTTTTCCCTAAACCTAACCTACGTAACTTTACTTTCCCAAACTTAATCTTTGTAATTTTACCGTAAGTATGTAATGTTAAGTACGCAAGTTTACATTGATTATGTAATGTGACGACGCTCAACCATGTTTCTTGTCTTAAACCTAAACTATGTAGCTTTACTTGCCTAAACCTAGCCTCCAAAAATTTATGTTAAGTACGTAACTTGACGTTAAGTGCATAATGTGACAACACACAAATATGTTTTTTTTCCTAAACCTAACCTACGTTACGCTCCCTTTTTACACCTTACCTTTGTAATTTAAGTATGTAATGTTAAGTACGCAAATTTACATTAAATATGTAATGTGACAACACTCAATCCTGTTTCTTTGTTAAACCTAACCTTCGCAACTTAACTTGCCTGAACCTAGCCTACATAACTTAACGGTAAGTACCTACCTTGATGTTAAGTGCATAATGTGTTTTTTTTCCCCCCTAAACCTAACCTACATAACTTTACGTTAAGTATTTAACGTGACAAAGCCCAACCATGTTTTTTTTTTTTTTTTTTATCTAAACCTAACCTACGTAGCTTTAATTTCTTAAACCTAACCTTTAAGTTGCAAAAGGATTCCCGCACACTGTCTAACTTGCAATAAATAATTTATTTACAACGTTTCGGCAGTAGACCTCTGCAACTTTTTGGTCTTCTCTCTCCAACGCACTTGTCTTTTTTAATAGATGTGTGAAGTGTTTCCTTTCTTTTAAACCTAACCTTTGAAATTTCACGTTACCTATGTAATGTTAAGTATGTAAGTTTACATTAAATAGTTTCTTTTCTTAAACCTAAACTACATAACTTGCCTAAACCTAGCCTACCTAACGTAACGTTAAGTACGAAACTTGACATTAACACCCAACTGAGTTTTTTTCCCCCTAACATAACCTATGTAACTTTACATTAAGTATTTAACGTCACCACACCGAACCATGTTTTTTCCCCCCTTAACCTAACCTACTTAACTTTACGTTAAGTATTCGATGTGGCTACGCTCAACAGTATTTTTCCCCTAAACCTAACCTACATAACTTTACGTTAAGTCTCTAACATGACTGCGCTCAACCGTGATTTTTCCCCTAAACCTAACCTATGTAACTTTACATTAAGTATTTAACGTGACGACGCTTAATCGTGTTATTTTTTCCTAAAACTAAGCTTTTTTTACATGAAGTATGTATAATATTACATATGTAAGGTAACGTTAAGTATATTATGTGACAATGCCCAAACATAATATACTTAATGTTACCTTACGTTAAGTATATTATGTTTGGACATTGTCACATAATATACTTAACGTTACCTTACATATGTAATATAACGTTAAGTATATTATGTGACAATGCCCAAACATGTTTCCTAACCTTGCCTAAAATTTACTTGCCTCAACTTAGCCTACATAACTTTACACTAAGTACGCAAATTTACACTAAGTGCATAGTGTGACAACACCATTCGTAGGGCACTTCTTCATTATATATAATACGAACTGTTGTATGCACAATGATTGAAGCTATACAAAATCATAAAAATTACCTATGAAGCACGATGGATGACAGGTGGGATAAAAGACTTAACTTTAGGTTTAACTGTTTATTACTTCCACCATGACAACAAAGTTCCCCTTACCTTATCGTAGTAGTTATTTTTACCCAAACCACAGTGTTTCCCTTAATTTAACCAAGTTGTTTTTGTTCCTTAACTTAACCAAAGCTTTGACCTTTGACCATTTTAACAGTGATTCCTAAGTGGTTTTCCAAATGGTGTCATCAGATCAGACAGTGTGTCTATGTGTCGTTCTAGAGGATAGTCACAGGCGATGTATTTTATAGTTAAGTCCTGAGAGTAGCAACAAGAATTCGCTTGTAAAATGTGGTCTTGCAGGATTCAATATGCTCAGCCATGTTTATGTTTATGGAGCAAATCAACATCAAAGATTTGCATAAACTGTACAAGAGGCAGATCATAAAAGTAACTTTAGATTTTAAATTTAATGATGGTTGCAATCACTGCTACAAAGGTGAGTTACATTTGGGTAAGTACAAATTAGCAGCATATGTCGGCTGTAAAAGCAGAGCTCCAAGCAT